AACTTACCATTTTCATTGTTTTATTGTTAGTAAACCACATATATCAAAGAATGATTCTTTTATTGGATAATTCTAATTTAATGGATCAATTTGTTAAATTATATTATATTGAATGGATAAAGTATTTACATAAGTTTTTATTTGATACAGTCATGCATGTAATTTTTAATGAAAATATAATGTTAGTTATGAAAATTTTCATGCATGTTTGAAAGTTGACTTTAAAAGAAAACTATGCATGGGTTTTATAGCCTACTCTACTCTCACATTTGTCATTCATGGGTCTCATACCTACATATGTTTATGGCTTGGAGTTAGGTTTGGTTAGCATTATCCTCAAAAATTATATGTCCGCATTAATTTTGTGGCTTTGACTGCGTTTAGTTATTTACTCTTGTAAATTGTTTGTCTCTATAGCATAAGTCGCGTTTGGTTATTTGCTTTTGTGGATTGTTTGTCCAAATTTATTATTTGTTTTGTAAAGTCCTTAGAATATTAGCTTTTAATTGATTTGTGAAATCATACTCCATTGTTTTTTTAGTAAATGTTTCTATTTTTATTTGATTTATTTATTTAATCTATTGATTTTTAAGATCAAATGATGAAGTTGCTTTGTTATTGTAAGTTTAATGGTTCAGTATTTTTGAAGTTCTTTAGAATCTTTAAACCCCAAGTTTGGTGATTATATTATATTGAAAGATTCTCCCTTTAATTTATTTATAATTACCAATTCATTCTTGTTATTTCAAATTTCATTATTAAGACGTTGTTCACTAAAAAATTATTTTTGATCTCTAATATTATAGTTGAAGTTGTACTTCCAGCTGGCCATTGAGAGGCTTTTTATTTTTTGACTTGAAGTGAAGAAGTTATTGACCATCCTTGATGTAAAAATTTAAATTATGAATTCATATTTTGTAAATCTTATTCTAGGCCCTTCATGTACTCATATTTAGGACTCTCATTTGTATATATATTATGCATGATTTGTCTTCTAGAGGGAGTAGAGTTCCTTATTGATGCTATTTTGTATTGAGGAATGCTATTATAGAATTTTCAAGAAGTCCTATTTTTAATAGAGTTTTTATCAAAATTTTTATCAAAATATTAAATATTTTGTTCTTATTATCAAAAATGAATCCATTGATTGTCACATGTCTTCATGGTTTAAAAATTAGAATTTCTTTAGTTAAAGCTTTCGGGATATGGGTTTTGTTCTCATATTTTGTGCTGATATGCCTTATTTTCAAAGCATGACAAAGCTATAGTGAGAAAGTTGAGTGATTTTTCATTTTAGTTTGTAGAATACAAGTGAGGTGCCTTCTTCTATTAATAGGAGCAAACATATAAATTAAATTAAATTAAATTAAATATACAAGATAATAATAACTAAAAAAATAACAGCAACCAAAAAATATGGGGAGAATTTGAGATAATAGACACTAGATAGCATCCAAATATTCATAACACTAATAAAAATAATTTATATATTTATTCGGGACATGTTTATAATTCATTCAATAATTTTGTTTAATTTCTACTCCCTTCGTTAAAAAATATAAGGCATTTTTAACCGAATCTCACCTGCAATAAAATAATTTCCTACTTTTCTACTAACCCTATTTTTTTATATTATTTATATTAAATACCCTGTAATAAATATAAAATTATTATCAATAGGGTTACTTGTAAAAAAAGGGAATAATTATACATCAAAAGATTAAAAATATATTATATTTTTTAATATCTAACTTCTCAAAAAATGCCTTCTATTTTTGTACAAAAAGAGTATTTATTTATCAGGTGCCAACATCTCTTCATATTCCGAAATCTTGACATTCATTTGGCTGCCATATGTAATGTATTGACTAGGTTTTTCAAATTTAATATTCTGAAGAAGTATGCTTTTCAAAATTTCTGCTAATCACTAAAAGAAAGAAAATAAAAAATTAGTTGATATCTATATCAACACTTGCTTATGCTGCAATATGTATAGCCCTAAGTTCAAACATTTAGCCAAAACTAATAGAATGGAATGCCTCCCGGAAAGGACCAAAAAACGCGCAGTTTTATAGTTTATAACAAATAATCATAGTCATAATCATAATCGGTGGGCAAAGGAGGAAGATAAACAGGAAAATCCTCGAGGTATAAAAAAGGTGGTTTCAAGATTAATTACGGTACCGCAAGGAATAAGAAACGATAAAATGGCTTCCCAAATTGCAAGCCCATCCTCAATTCTCGGCCGTAGGATCCTTGCTCTTGTAATGAGTGTATGCTCTGTGGTCTTACTGGCTTCTGCTAATTTCAAGCTTTCAGGTGTTCATTATGGTTTTCAAAATATCGTCACTTTTAGGTATGGATAACATCACACATTATCATGCAACTAACATGTTTTTTTATGCACTGCGTAAAATTTGAAATAACTTATGCTACAAGTTTTACATTATATAGATATATTGATGATTAATATTGAATATTTTTTGGTGAATATATATATATATATATGTTTAATATATTTTTATTTATATAATTTAATAAGATCTAGTTATAGAAGATATAATATATAAAAAATTTACATGTATTGATTGATTTGATTCATTGAAAAAAGTATACTAAGTTAGTATATCGTCACTTTTTTTATTTATGAAGTTTACAAAATTCTCTTCCATAAAAATTATAAGTAAATTGTACATATAAATGTATGCTTTTTTCAAAAAAATATAGGCAAAGTTTATATATTGTTTCAATAAAATTCAAAACTTAGTAAGGGTAATTTATTCAATTTTTATTTCCATGTTCTTGCTGAAATTAAATCCAAAAGAGTATAGTTTCTTTTAAAGAAAAAAGAAAAATTAAAAATAAATAAATTTTAGACAAATTTTTATTATTTTTTATAATATATTTTAAACTAATAAATTCTATCTATATATAATATAATATAAAATATAAAAAAAAAGTCATGTTATTTATAAGTCAACAAGGCAACAACGCAACTCAACTTAAATTCTCTCTATCTGCTTATGTCCTTTCTAGGAAACGAAACATCAACAAATTCTTATGCCTTCAATGATGCTTAAAAAATGCAGATATGTGATGGCAGTTGCAGTGATATCGATCGCATACGGTGTAATGCAGCTACCCTTTGCTGCGTACTACGATCGTACCCAAAAGAGAGTGATTCCCCAGCGTTTTGAATTCTACGCTGATATGGTCATCCCCTCACCTGATTTAATTTTAAAATTAATATCGTGTGTGTGTGTTCCATTTTTTACATATTTCTTTTAGAACTAGAGTTATTGCATTGCACGGTGACAAGTTGCCCAGATTTATGAACTCATTTCAATAAAGTTTTTAAATGGGAGAAGATAGAGAGATTTCAAACCAATCAATTAATTCAACTTAAATTTCTAGTGCCAAATTTTAGGAATTTATAAATTTGATTTTCAATCGCAACATCATTACGATGAATTTGAAATTTGTATTTCAAATTTTAATAAAAAAAATAAATTTGTTTATTATTCAATCATGTTAAAATTTGAAAAAATAAATTGTAAATTTATTATAGTAAAGTTATAAAATTAAGAGCCGAACTTATAAATTTTTAAAATTTAACACTTGAGATCTAAGTTAGATTAATTTATCCTATTAGAATCTCTCTATCATTCTCCCCTTTTAAATTAAAGGAATGCCTGCACGGAAGTATAGCCCATGGCTTTGGACTTGGACTTTAGTATTTTTTTTTTTTATAAAAACAATACGATAGCATGCATGCTCTTATAGTTCTATCTGACATGAATTAAATTAGTCGAAGTATATAATTATAATTTTTTAGTTATCAGGTGATTTTAATTTCATCAATTGGATGCAGGTGATGAGCGTGTTGCTAGCTACAAGCAGTGGCGCTGGTATTGCGGTCTCTCATGAGTTGAAGAGAGGATTTGGTGGTGGAAACAACATTGGCATCAATAGCAACAATGATTATCATGATTATTATGATCATATTATCATTGTGGACTCATTTTTCAATTTCTTTATCAAGCTACTTGTTGCTTCTGTTCTCCTCCTTTTGGTTTGGCTTTCCTTGGCCGTCATTTCCATCATTTCCTATAACAAAAAACATCGTCAATCCAACAGCACACTTGAACCCTCTCCTATTACAGAACCTGCTGTGTGCGCTGATGTTAAAGCATCGTCTGATGGGGTGTGTGTGTGACGAAGCTTTGTCATTAGATTTGAGCTTTGGTATTACATTTTTCAACAATGTGGACCGTGGATTTGAACTTGTGTATGTTTTTTTTTTTTAATTAACTAGTGTGAATCCTTTGTATTGCATGGATGGTTTGGGAGCAACGTTGATCTATGACAGGGTCTTGAAAAACAAGTAATTCTGCTGATTCGTTATCCTTTTTTTAGGTTCATTAGGATTCTTATTGGTTGGAACTTTGAGTTATTTTGATAGGAATATTTTTCTCCACAAGAGATCGTGATGTCCTTCTATAGAACTGTTGGTCTCTTTGTTAGCTCCTATTTGTGGTTAGCTTAATGAAAGATTTTGAATTCAAATCTTTGAGTATTCGTTAAATTTGTTTAAAGGGATATAACCTTTCCAGAAAATGCCCTAAAATTACCAACTAGATTAATTTATGTCAAAGACTTGGGATACCAAAAAGGTGAAAAAAGGATAATTATTTATTACTATTTATTTTTTATTTATCATTTTATTAAATAATTTTTAATACATGAAAAATTATTATTTTTGCTTATGTTTATATGGCAGGTATGTTTAGCTTTTGTTTTCTCAAAAAAAAAAAAAAAAAAGCTAAACTAAACATTTGTGCTTATATAATTTTCATTTTGGGTTGCGGAAAAATTGGGTTCATTGTAAGAGAATGCTTTTGTTTTTTCATGAGGGGGATCACAATAGAAATAAAATTAAATATATATATATATATATATATATATTACTAATAAAATATAAATATTTCAAGGGGTTTTTATAGATATAGCTTATATTTTAGGATCAAATCAAGTAGATAGTCTAATATTTATTATATTTTGTATTATAACCATTTTATGATATTTTTCAATAATATACTGTTGAATATCAATTATAAACTATTTATAAATTTTTAAATTTTTAATAATAAACTCTTTATATATTAATGTGAACCGGCCACATTTACAAATTTTAATTTATCTATATTTCAACATGTATATTTATATTCAATTATACATATAAAATGAAAATAAATTTACAACTTTCCTGTTTAAGTTTTGGTCATCAATTTTTATGGTATAAGAATGCTTAATTACGATGTCTATGATAAATTTTTAGACATTTCATTCTCAATATAAACTATCATTAAATTGGTAAAGATTTCATCTTCTCCATGGGCATTGAATAATCTAAATGCATATTTAAGATCTAAAGTTCAATTCAATTTTAAAAACTTTATTACTTTCTTATTGAATTTATTATTTATTTTTTTAATTAATAATTATAGTAAATAAACATATTAACACAGTAATGATGCTCAATTTTCATAAGTTTTTTATGTGATCTGAGTATATTATAATCAAAACCATTCATATAATAAATTTTAATAGTTTAATTATTACAGAAAAAATAAATTTTTCTAGAAGAATATATTTTAACCATAACCTTTTAACTTCTGAGTTAATAATTTTATGGTAAATATCAAGCACAGAGCATTCAATCTATTTGAAATTTTTGTTGCAGTACTTGGCAAAATTTGTTGATAAGAGTTCTCTTAATTTCTTTCATCAAATATAAAATAAAAGTAAAATCAAATGATATTAATGTTTTAAAAGTAACTGTAACATTATCTTGTTAAAAATAAATAGATCTTATGACAACTATATTTTTAAGCTACTAAAACAGTTGAATTATATATGTGTAAAAGACTATTATAAAATTGAAAGAGAATTTTATAATATTCTAAAGCTTCTATAATATACTAACTTAGAGAGTCAAAAATATATAACCCATACATTTTATTAAAAAGAATAAAAAATTTGGGACCCCTGCTGCCCCGTCTTCTCCCTTGGTACCAATTGGTTTGCTTCATAGAATGGGAAAAAAAATAAGAAAAGTGTAAACTAGAGAAGAAAATTACAAGAAAAAGAAATTTTTTTATTAAAAAAATTATATATTAGTAATATATAATAAAAATATATATGTCTTGATTTGATTAAGCATCTTAAATAATATGAGAATAAGTATTAGGTTTTTCTTTTTTTTATTCATGAAATTTACAAAATTTTCCTCTATAAAAATTATAAGTGAATTGTCTGTTATTTTTTCTGAAAATTATAACAAAAGTTTATATAGTTTCAATTAAATTCAAATTTATTGCTGTTTTGTTTTTGTGCTTTGGCTTACTGGTCGTTAGTGTTTTTGCTCCTGTGTTGCCTTGTTTTTTTTTTTTTTAATAAAAAAACTGTTCTGTTGTCTTCTTTTAGTTCAGACTTCTGTGTTAGTTTGGCCAAAAAGGATTAAAAAAAAAAAGATTTGCGTGTTAGTTTGCTGGTAGATTTTGAGTGTTTTTTTTTTCTTTTTTTTGGGGGGGGGGGGGGGGTGGGGGGGCGCTACGGGTTTAACTTGTATAATCTGTTTTTGGAATTAATAAAATTGATTTGTGTTTAAAAAAGAACGTTAATCAATTGAAATAAAATAATTATTGATTGTTTTCATTTTGTCAATCAAGAAATGAATCAAATAATAAAAAAAGAAATAAATAAAAGGCTCGAACTTCTGAATAGTGCCGTTGGATTAGGGAAAAAACAGAAAAACATGGAACATACACTTATGAACAAACAATTAAATCATCAATAAAAATTTTAAATGTTGGTTTCTGAACGTTAACCAAATTAAGATAAAATAAATGGCAGTTTACATTTCTTGTCGGTTAAGGAAATGAAATCAAAGAATTAAAGAAAATAAATAAAAGGCCTGAAATTCTGAATAGTGCCGTTGGACTATTAAAAGGAAAACATAAAAAATGGAATATACATTTATGAACAAACAATTAAATTAAATCAGTTAAAACTTCAACTAAAGATTAATTTACAGCTGCAAATCAATCAAGGCAAATATTGACAGCTTGCATTTCTTGTCAATTAAGGAAATTCAATGAAAGATTCAAAGACCACTATTGGCGGTTTTCATTTGGTGCCGTGGGACGCACACCCGCCAAAACCCAAGCGGCGGAGATGTGAAGGTGGTAAGGAGGTGTGGCGATGGAGATCGGAGCCAGAAGCGGAATCCATGGCTTGCGTGCCATGAGTGCTCTATGCTGTGCTCGACCTAAAAAGATCCGGAACGCTATTTTCCTCCTCTCTTCACGGACCCAAATACCCTCTACATTTTAAGGCGGTTAGAGTTTGGCATTGTAATTCATCGAATGCATTACTCTTCGGTCACTGATTTTCCATTCATCCTCGTTCTTTGGAGGACTCGTTATGGTTCATGCACAAGTATATGAGGGATGCTGTTGACAAGGGGTTCAATCGATAAAGTTCTCTTCACGGACCCAAAGACCCTCGATCGTTTCATTTTTCATACTTTCGGAGTTTGTCACTATAACTCATTGGAAGCATTGCTCTTCGTTCACTGATTTTTCGTTCTTCCTGGTTCTGGAGGACTCGGTATGGTTCTTACAATAGTATGTAAGCGATGCTGTGGAGGAGGATTCATTCGATAAAGTTCTTGTTCCCATGATCGAAATTTGTTCAATTTCTGATATATATATATTTTTATAGATTGAACTTGTTTCTCTTTTAAAAATTATCAACTTTAGAGTTTGTAGAAGCTCTGTTATGTTGGTCATCCTGATCGCACTCATTATTATGGGTTTATATTATGCATATGGATGGTAGTCATTGAAGTCCAAAGACTGTAAGCATGGTGGCTAAACTATGATACTGATAAAATGGCTCTTTCAAGATGAGTTGCTTCGTGAAACAGCGATGAAAGGTCTCGCTAACATCATTACAAGGAAGAATTATTGTTTGAATGGTTGGTACTTGTGCGAGCTCTTGTGGATTACGAGGCTATTATCAGTTAATCTCCTTTCAGGGGTAAGTTCTCATTTTTTCTTTTGACCATAACTTCTGGAGCAGAAAAGCACATTTGCTTTAACTGTTATTGGCTTATGATTAACATTTGCTTCTTCCTATTGGAGATTAATGAACTTTTGAATGGTAGGAATAAGGTTTCAAAAGTCTTTTGCATGTAAGTTTTATGACCCATCATATGTGTGTCCAACTAGAGTGAGCTTTATTATTTGAACTAATATGAACATGATGGATTCCTTTCATCCATGTGTTTGTGCGCCGCCAAGAGGGTTAATTAATTTGTATATTTTAATACGTCCTCTAGACGTGCAGAAATTTGTAAAAGGGATTTAGTTTTCAGTTTGTAAAAACTTTTTATGTCTTTGCTGCATAGACTCCCCTTACATGACTTGATATTTTTGGTCAAAATCTTTTGTGGTTTACTAGAAAATCTTAAATTTATGAGAATCTTTTGTTGGTATGCTCGGATCTATAAATACACTCTTACGAGGCTAACTTGATAAGGCAATTTAGAGGCTTTCGAATGAACTTTTGATACCTTCTCTGAATGGTCCAAGCTCTTGCCTATATGGATTGTGAACTAACAATATGATGAGTGGCTTACTACATGAATTATGAATGATTTAATTCTATGCATTTGTTGGCCTTTCTACATCTTTATATAATGCACTCCTATGAGGCTCAATTGTAATTGTACATTTTGATGCCTCCTCTAGTTGTGCAGAAATTTAAGAAAGGGTTTACTTTTTCATGACTGTATAGACTTTTTTTTATCTCTATTGCTTTTAGTACCCCTAAATTGATACAAAAATTGTCATTGGTCTTAAAATGTCATGTGCATAGTATATTTGGCCTACTAATGTGAGATTTATTATTTGATCTAATATGTGTTGGCCTTTCTACATCTTTATATAATGCACTCCTACCAGGCTCAATTATAATTTTATATTTTGATGCCTCCCCTGGATGTGCAAAAATTTTAAGGGGGATCTACTTTTTTCATGTTGGTATAGACTTTTTGTGTCTCTACTGCTTTTGGTACCCCTAACATTGATGCCAAAATTGTTGGTTCTCTTAAAACGTCCTGTCCATGGTTTATGAGGCCTATTATTGTGA